AGCGGGATAGAGCATCATCAGAGCAGCGTGACATTAGGACTTTTGAAACTCACCGTGGCTGCTTGACGCACGCCTTGCTGCGTATCTTTGGAAGTGACGACGATATTTCTGGATTGCATAAACTGCGACGGGGGGCAGAGCAAGAAGAAATTGACAGTCATTCAGGGGACCGCATACATTCCATCACCTTTGACTGCCATTCTCGCTATCTCGAGCTGCCTTCCCCCTCCACCCCTCACCTGCCACCAAAATCCCCAAAACGATTCTCTCACATTTTCCTTGGCGTAATTGGGCTTCTCTATATGATCTGGAACGACGCTTTTGGTGGAGAGCGGGTAGTGCGCGCGCACGGACGAGCTGGGCTCGTAGGAGAAGCCTCGAGAGCTTAGAAAGGGATCGTAGATGTTCGCGCTGGTACTGGTGCTCGTGCTCGCGCTTGTGCTCGCTCCGCTGGCACCATCAGCAGCGCCCTTTGCGGCTGCTGATGCAGTAGTGACTGTTGTGGACATGCTGAATGACTTGGACAAGGGCGAATGAGTCGTGCACGGACGAATGGAATCTAGTGAAGGTATCAGATACTGAGCTTGGGTGCAGTGCGGTGCCAGCGGTCCCGACTTTGAAAGACGGATGCGGTTGATACCACGATGTGCCAAGCTCATGCAAAGACGAGCAGCACGTTGGATGGATGCGAACGTGAGGTGGCACCTGCTCGAAAAGGAGTAGTGTAATTGGGTACGCAGAGAGTAGAGGTCGGAAGCGCGTGCAATGGGGGAAAGCAGGCCAGCCCGATTGGTATGCTTGGTGTGATTGGTCGCGGACGAGTGTAGTCACGAGTCATGAGTGTGAGTCGAGATAAGCTGAATGACGGCAGGGCGGACTTTGAGAGGTATGTTTGCACTCATTCAGACGCTGCGAAAATCCGGCGCACGTGATGCAAATTGTTGATGAGCGCGCCCCAGCTCACGTGTCTGCAGAAGCGAGCGGCAGGCAGCACGAAGAAAGTCAAGTCAAGTCATATTCACGATTTCAGTCACGTCACACACCACTTACAGTCAGTCATGAGTGTCAACGTCACCGCTGGTGAGGATATTTCTTCAAATACGACTCACGACTTGGCTGCGATCTCTTTAGTCGACGACATCGACCTGTCTGGCTCAGCAGGCATCTTTCGTCCACTCGGCTATACCTTCACTACGGTCTCGTGCAGCCCAAGCGCATACACGCTGCCTCTCGACGCCAGCATTCCCAGCAGACCAGTGTTGCGCTCGACCTCTACCTCTACCTCGCCCCCCTCTCCCGTTCTCCATCATGCCCCGCCGACTAGCAACAGCGTTGCCCAGCACGCTCGCGCGACTTCAGCAGGGCAATATGCTCAAAAGCGTGCCTCGCATTCTTCCCGTGCTCGCTGAGATCCCGCCTCTTCTCCTCGGTCCACGCGCGCCTTCTGCTCGACCAACCGACGAGCTCTCACCGGAACAAAGAGCGGACACTTCTGCCACGACCCAATCCCAATCACGTGCACTATCCAAGTCGAAGAAGAAGTACCCCTCGTTGAGCCCGCAAAAGATTGTGTACTTGGGAGACAAGGTTAGGAGAACATTCTTCAAGGATCATCCGTGGGAGTTGAAACACCCTCGTATGCTCGTCGAGGGAAGGGAAAGTCGAGCTGCGAGGGATCCGACAGTGCCTGGTCAACCTGTCGATCTTTCTCTATGGGGCAATTATCCGACTGCTGAAGAGTAAGTGCATGCGCTCATCTGGCTCTTGAAGCATCGTCGCTCATGTATGCCTGCCCCTGCGCAGCGTCATCTCCTGCGTCCTGTTGCAGCACAAGAGAGAAGGCATCTCGCTCAGCGCAGCGTATCACCACACGCTCTCCTCTTTCTACTCACTTCGAGCTCGAGCGGAACATTCGCGCAGATCAGCAGTAGCAGAAGCGCTAGCATACGGCGCCACTTTCCCCATCAAGTACGGCAAGTCCGAGTATCAGGCTGGAGGAGCTCGAGAAATTTTGCGCTTCACGCTTCGAGAAGGTCGAGAGATCAAAAGCGGGGCGGCATTCCTCAATCCTGACATTATTCCTGCTGCACCTGGAACGACGACGGGTGCAGGTGCCAGCGCGACAGGGGGCCAGACGACGGAACGCAGAGCAAATGCCAGATTGGACAGTTGGACGGGCGGCACAGCCTATTTGCAAGCTAGCAGAGCTGCGCGGGACGAAGCCAGACGCATCAAAGAGACGACACTCTCCCCTTCCTCTGTCCAGTCTGCTCAGGAAACTCTGGATGGACAGGGGTCCGACGATGCGATCAGCACGCCTGCGATGAGGGAAGCGGCGCAACAGATCGAGCCTCAATTGTCGAGCGTGCTGGAGACGAAGAGGGCGATGGGAGAGCAATCGGTCCGCACGGCGGACGAAGCGGCGCAGGAAATCAACGAAGAAGCTGCATTCTCTCACGCTGTTCAAAGACCTTTTCGCGCATCGCCAAGAGGAGGAGAGGAAGATTAGAGAGGGACACCCAGGTTAGAGTGACAGTCGGTTGG